TATAATAACTCCCCATCCTATAATACAATTAATGGATTATAAAACCATTTTTGATTTACAATCACCAATTATCACTAATACAACTAGAAGCTAACCATTCATAGTTTATTACCAGAAGCTAACCATTTAAAGTATTTCCCTACTGCCTGTGTCATATTTAATTATAAACTCTAGTGATCCACTTAACTTAAGAATTTTTTCTAATTAAACCAAAAAGTCCGAGTCAAGTCTTTACTCAAGATAATTAAACTCAACCCAAATTCTGATATTAGTGAGTTATTTTGATATATAATAATTAAAATAATACATATAAATCTCATAATTTGAGATTGTGATCTAAGTTTGATGTTATGCATGTGGATTTATGTGAATGGGATTAATTTAAATGAATGATTTAAGGTGCAATATCAACTAAGAATAATATTGGAATGTTAAACTTGGACTTTTGGAGTTTTTGGGAAGCTTAGAATTGTTTATAGGGGTGAAAGTATCGATACATACCCTAATGTATCGATACATTCATGGTAGGATCAACAACAAAGGCTCAAGGAAGAATATTTTATCGATACATTTGAGAATGTATTGATAGATTTGGCCAAAGATGAACTTGCATCAATATATTTGAAGCAGAGATCATCCAATGAGAAAAGTATTGATTTATTTCCCCAATGTATTGATGCATTCACTCGAACTTAGGACAAATGTATCAATACATCAAAGAGGAAAAGCAAAAATAAAAAAGGATTTTGAGTTAGTTCACCCAACTCTTTCTCTATAAAAAGTTCAAAACCTTAACCCTCCAAATTGAATTTTTGAGCCGTTTAAAGCTATTTGGAGCATGGGAAACCATTCTGGAAGTAAGATTTAACATTTTTACTAATTATTTTCTAACTTAACTGGTTAACAACTTTGAATTTGACTCTTATCCAAATTTTGTATTTTTCCCTCATTGGCTTGGATTGGGGAATTTAGAGCTAAGACTTGTGCAATCCAACTTTTAAGGTATGGGTTTAGCTCATTAATGAAGAATTTGAACTTAAATAGTAGTATTGCTAAGATTTAGTTAATTGTGTGAAAAGCTGGTATTTTTTGAAAGCTAGGAATAATTAATCTTTTGATGTGCTGATGTGTTTGAAGGGGGAAACGGAGTTACATCAACTAACTAGCAAGCTAGACACTGACTAGAGGCTAAAGATCAAAGCTTGGCAGGGATAGCCTTCTATTGTCACTATGAGTGGGTTTAAACAAAATACATGTAATGCATGATAGATACGCTGCCATGGTATTAGAATGAAATATGTATGCCTAGACAAATTAACCTTGGCTAGAGAATGATATATGTGTATATGTATGTATGTGGATTATGTGTGATTGCACTCTAATGTGAGCCACATGGGTGGCTTATGTTGTGTGTGCCTACAATATGACGTCTAGAGGCTATGATGAACCCTTAAGACCAAATTACCCTAGGTGAATGATATGTTGAGATGAATTGATTGAATGATGTCTTGAGACTTAGATGCTATTAGAACTTGACCAAGCTTAAGACGATTAAAGCTCGAAAAATGTGATTTGTGATTTGAAGAGGAAAGATGTGAATGATAAAGGCATGACGGCCTTATTTGTGGACTTGTGTTCTGTTCGGTGAATGAATTTCAAATGTTGATCTAATTTATGGTTAAGTGGATTTTTGCCCCCTTGTGACTATTTATGTGATGTAGGGATAATGGTAAGTATGGATGTGTTACTAATCCTACTTACGATTCTTGCCTGCAGTGCTTTGATGCCATTCGTTGAGATTTCTCCAGGTGATGCCCACATCAAGATTTTACTCTGGTCGATGATTTGTTCTCTGCCAGTTACTTTGGCTCTATGTGTGATCTGTTCTCTACCCGTTGCTTTGGTATGCACGTTATCTGTTTCTCCGTTAGTGGTTTTGACTCTAGCATGATTTGATTCTTCGCTAGTTGGCTACTGTGCATGATCTAATTGTGTCAAAGGGAGGACCACACATTAATTTGGTTTATATATGATGTGAGATAGCCATGGAGAGGCTTAGATAAATGTGATATGATTCTAATGTGATACTCCAACGACTAAAGTGTGCCATAGAGAATGATTTGAATAACTTTGATTGACTTCGAGGGTAAGTCTAACGATATGTGTGATGACCTTTTGAGACAGTGAGGATGATGATATACCTTTATATTAGAGATTTAGGAATAATGATACGTTTTGTGTTTGGAGATGTTTGCCACAACATCTAGTTGCACATAAGGTGCATATATGATATATATGTATTTTATATAAACATATATGATTTTGTTTATTTGCACCACTTAGTGAGTATTGTAGTACTCACCTATTTGTATACCATGTGTAGATAAATAAGCCACAGAGTTGTGTGGTCTACATCATCTAGCAATAGACCAATTATGGAAACTAGTAGGTTATCTATTTTGGTCACTCTGCTAAGTCAATTAAAGCCTTCTACTAAGGATAATGTGTGTAGGCACTGAGTGCGATGTTATATGGTGTATTAAGGGTTAATATGTATAAACTCATTTGGATGGCCAACGTATTGCCCTATTACTATTTGTATAGAAATTAAGCTAGGGATATTGTATTTTATTCAAAGTTATTATAAATATTTGATGATTGAATCGTTTGGCCTAAGTATGTTTGAATATGAACTCTGAGGCTTGCTTAGGTCAAGTGGGCTTGCCTGTTGGGCTCGTGAATCGGTCATGGCCCTTGAGATTAGGTCTTGACAAAGTTGGTATCGGAGTGCCCAAGCTAGAGAGTCTTAGGTGAAATGGTGTCTATCAGCGGAGAGTTAGGGATTAGTGTAAAGTCTTGTTTATGGTTGGTGACTGTAATATTAATCATGAATAGGAGTTTGCATGAACTCTTAAAGTTTTAGTAAGCTTACCTTTTGTATTTTGGAATTGTGATTTTGAACATAGTTTTGCTTCGTCTTGGTATAGGACATGACTTAAGACAAGAACTACCTCGAGGACCACGAGAGAGCAAGATGTCCTAAATGAGCTTATGGAACCACCACGAGTGTCCACATCAAGGAACCGTGGTAGGAGTAGAGGAGCGAGCTATAGTCGAAATGTGGAACCAAGCTATACATACACTAGCAAGTAGAATTTGGGAATCGAGGATGACTACTCTACAAGAGGAGGTGTCAGCTTAGAGGATTTGGCAGCAGGGTTGCAAAGTTTGGCTCATGAATTTGTTGAGTTTCGCAATAGAAGCGAGGCACCGTCTGAGGAATGTGTTGATTTTAATTCACAAGATCTAGATTATGTGCCCTAGTGTGAACTTCAAAAAGCAACTATTGAGGTTACGTTGGCAGATTTTATGAAGTTAAAGCCTTTATCTTTTACTGGTTCAGATGTAAAGGAAGATTCGAAAAGATTTTTTGAAGACTTGGAATGCATTTATTCAGCTTTGGGATGCTCCACACATCGGTCAATGGAATTGGTGGGTTTTAGATTGAAAGATATGGCCATGATATGGTTTGTTACACTTAAGAGAAGTAAACCATTAGGGTCATCCCTAATAAAATGGGAGGAATTTGTCCAAGCTTTTCTAGATTGTTTATTGCCTAAAAGCGTGAGAGATGCAAAGGCACAAGATTTTGAGACTTTGAGATAGACCCTAGATATGATGTCCGTTTCACCCAACTTTCAAGATATGCTCTCAACGTGGTGCTAATTGAATAGAAAAAGATCAAAAGATTTATTTAGGATTAATTGAGCCATTGTTTAGGGTGTAGGTGCTGTTCAATTTTCTACCAATGCAAGTGCACGTATCGCAAAGATAATTATAGAAATGAGTAGAGTATTGATTCCATAGAAAATTAAATTAACCATCATTGTTAACTACTAAAATTAACACCTTAATTTTATCTAAATAATTAAAATTAAAAAAAATTGAAA